CCTCAGTCTAGAGGAACAACAGAATACTTTGAACAGCAAGCAGGAATGTTCCTAAGGGCACTATTTCCCATGACCAGGGCTGTGGCATCCTGGAAGTCGCCAGTGACAGCAGCAGCAGAATGTGGTTCAGAAACAAGCCCTCCAAGGTGACCCGCTGACCAGGTGTGACTTTGAGAATGAAGATTCTGGGTCTCCTGTGACCTTGCCCCCCTCCAATGAAGCTCCCCTGTAGCTGGCAGGTGAAGGCTGTGACCTTGGAAGTAGAGAGTGTTAGATGAGGGGTGATGGTGTCCAGGCGTGGGGTTTGATTTTTTTTTTTTTTTTTTTTTTTGACAGAGAGATCACAAGTAGACAGGCAGGCTGAGCAGAGAGCCCGATGCGGGGCTCGATCCCAGGACCCTGAGATCATGACCTGAGCCAAAGGCAGAGGCTTAAACCACTGAGCCACCCAGGCGCCCCAGTGGGGTCTGAATTCTGCTTCCTGTCACTGTGGTTCAGGGAGAGAGTAGTCAAGCCCCGTGTTGTGAAGGGTGGGGCACGAGCAGGGAATGGGGTGAGTTCCATGGCGTGTTTGGGAATTGGTCACTTATGCTGAGTGACACGGCCCCCAGTGAAAGAAAGCATCTAAAATTCAAGTTTTCGGGTGGTTTCTCATCACATATCTATTAAAAGGTTCTTGTTGATAATGTCCCTTTTGTCCATATAACATTGCCTTTTTGTAGCCAAAATTGTGACTTTGTGATAATTCCAAACCTAAATATCCAGTCAGGTGAGAGAATGCTTTGTGGGGTTTGGGGGCATCTGAGGCCTAGGAGCCACCTCTGAGGGTGGCCTGATGGTGTGAGGAGGCTGCTGGGTGACGCTGGGGGAGTTGTTCGTTTCCATTTAATCTGGAGCCACTGGGCTGGGTGACCTGGACAGGACAGAGGTGTCTTCTGATGGATAAGGACAGACTGCACGAGGATCTCCTTAGACTGCCTGAGTTTGGGCTTTGGGTCGGGGGACACACAGGCCTCCTGGGGTTACATGGCTGGTACCCTTCAGGCATGGCTGGAGCAGGGGGAGGAGGAAGGCCAGGCCTCACCTTATTCGTTCACCACAGGAACAGAGCGAAGGTGCAGCTCACGGTGCTTTAGCCCAAACTCTGAAGCTGGGCCCCCTTAGTTCATGGCCCTGGCTTGTCATTCATAAGCTGTGTGACTTCAGGCAAGCGCTTAATAGCAGCGTGCCTTGGTTTCCTCATGTGAAAAATGGGGATGATGAAGCCTCCCACCCCGGAGGGTTTTTGAGGAGTGCTTGGAGTATCATGAGCTCTCCGTGAACGGCAGCTACCAAGAGCGGCCCCTGGAGCCGAGTGTGTCAGAAATCATGAGATGACCGCCACCCCCCCACCCACCCCACCCCTCCCGGCTCCCCTGAGCCTGTCCTGGGTCTTCCCACCATTCTCCCTTCAAGTCTGGACTCCTCACTCCATTTACAGCGGGGACTCGAGTAAGCTGCCCAGATGGCACAAGGCCCAGAGAGAGGGAATGAGTTGCCTGGTTTCTCCACAGTCCACAGACAGGAGGGACCTTTCCGAAGGAGTTTGGACTCCAGCATGCAGGAGGCCTAGGAGATGGGTCACCTTGCCCAGACAGGTCTGCCCAGCAGCCAGAACCCTGGCCTCCTCAGCCGCTTCTCCACTTTCCCTTTGCCCTGCTGCAAGGGCAGAGGCCTCCAGACAGCTGGGTCAGTCAGGGCTGCTTCCCTCATTGGCATCTGCCACCAGACCTCCTTGGAGACTTAACAAGCTATGGGACTTATAAGGGGGAGAGCCTGGGACCAGACCTCCGCCCACCGCTCCTCTGCACAGAGAAAGGGGAGGGGCCTGTGGGCCTCGGGGCTGCTTGCGAGGCCAGCCCTCATTTGCCCTGAGTGGAAGGAGGGTGAGAGGTTGGGTTGGGGGCAGGGGTGACGGTGTCTGGAAGACTGTGGGGCTGTTTGCTTCAGTAGTGCGCCTCTCCACCCTCTGGAGCAGGTGGGCCTCATCTCTGGGCACCATGTGGCAGGACCCAGAGTGCAAGGCAGGGTGAGCAGCCTGCTTGGCATGGCCCTGGGCAGCTGGAAGAATGGACTACGGCCTCTGCCTTCTGAATGCTGAGGCAGCATGTATTTACTGAGGCTTGTGGTATGCCTGACATGTGAACAAGGCCATGCAGTACGGCCTGGAACCAGTCCTTGCTGGGGACGCCCTTGCCCACGCATGTGCTATCCCCAGTGCTTTCCCCTTCCGCCAGAGGCCCCAGCAGCTGGGAGGCTTGGTGGCACCATAGTGGCCTGGGCTGAGTCCCTGCAGATGGCCCACCCGCCCTCTTGCTGTCTGTACCGCCAACCCTGAGCATGTTTGACCTCTGTTCCTTGAGTGCCCCAAAAGCACCCATTCGGTCTCAGGGGAGATCTTTTTCCGTTGCGGAGGGAAGGCACATCAGCAAAATCAGGCATTGGGATTTCTAGGTTTCACTTGACCTTGAGAGCCACCATTTTCCATGAAAACGACACCCCATGCTTTATTAGAATAGGATTATTAAGGAAAACTTGTGGAGCAGAGAACATCAGACAGCATTCTAACATACAGATAATCCAAAAATCGTCCTCCTCTCCCTGGCCCATCCTTCCGGCTCAGACGGGCGTCAGGTGGGATCAAATGTGAGTGCGAAGAGCCTGGTGGACCTCATCCCCGGATGGTGACTGTCACTCAGCATCTGGGCAGAGCCAGGGGGCGCTAGAAGTAGAGACCAAACAGAGATGATGACTCTTCCAGAGTCGGTCGCAGCTGGAAAAGGGGAGAGGCAGGAGAACGGCAGGGAGGAGGGGAGCTGCAGATTTTGAGAAGTCGTGGACATGAAGCCTTTCTGTCTACAACAGACCACGAAGCACGGCCTCAAAGCTCCCCAGGGGAGGGCCCACAACCAGCAGGCACCCTCCTTCAAAGGGAGAGATGGATGTGCAGTTATGTTTAAAGAAGTATAATATGGACAAATGGCCATATTTCTACTGAGCAGAAGCATGGGCCCCCCGCGGAACTAAGTGAAGGCCTCGTGAAATGCGTGGCACCCCCGGTTTTGACACTCGCCCCGCACCCACTGCCTCCACATTTGCGGATTCGGTCCCTGTGGAAAGTTAAAAAGGGCGGGGAAGGGTTGGGCACGGAGGAAGAGCAGGCTGGCTCCCCCACTATGACCTGGAGTCCAGGGCCATCGGAAAAAGTCTGGATGGGGAAGGATTTTGGAGCTTGGCTCAGCGCGCGTTTCACAGCAGCCAGTGGAAACTTCCAGGAATGCTGCTCTGGGCCAGCCAGGGGCTGTTTCCGCCGCCCCTTTTACGAGGTACAGACCCCTCAGCGGCTTCTGGCCAGCACAGGGGGAGTGTGACTGTTCCCTTCAGCCCGGCTCTGCCTCTTGGGGTGCAATGCTCCTTTTCAGGCTCAGGCCTGTACCCCCGGGTTCAGAGCCCCTGCAGCCCAGGTCAGTTCCCTCAGGAACGGCCAGCCGCCCTGAGGAGCAGCCTCTGTGAGCAGCCAACATCCATGCGGGATGCTGCGAGAATTTATAGCTGCCCGAGAGGGTAAACTCCTTCCCAAAATGTTTCAATGGTTTATTAAATGTATGAAAGGAAAGTTTCCTTTTCCTTGGACCAAGGCCCAGAGCCTCTTTGGAGCCTCAGGGAAGGTGGCAGAACCTCTTGGGAAAGCCCATAGACAAATGGGCAAAATTAATAGAAAGTGTTGTTTCTTAACCTGACCCCTTTCTGCTGGCTGTCAGCTAGCTGCACGGCACAGGGACCAAGCCTGCCTCGCTTATGGCGGATTCACCCGGGGCCTGGTGCAGGCCTGGCACTACACAGGCACTCACCCAGCCCTCGGGGAGGAGGTGAAGAACTCAGCCATCATGGCCAGCTTGGCGAGGGCTGGGCCTGGCTGTGTGACTGGTGGGCAGGTCCTGGGCAGGAGTCCTTGAGGGCAGTGAGCCAGCTGCTCTGTGGGGAGCACACGGGCTCCCAGACAGCACTGCCCCTCTGCCAGCACTCCGTCCCAAGCCAGAGAAGGTGGGCACGTTTTTTACAGCCTTGTCCAGCAGCCATGTCTGTAAGACTGGCCCCGGCCCATGAGGCACATGCCTTCCCGGCACGTGGGACTAGGGGCGTTTGGCAAGCCAGACGGCTAGGTCCACAGGCCAGCCATGCTGGGGTGGGCAAGAGAAGACAGGGAGCCACGGGCTCAGCCTCCGGAAGCCAACGTGATGACAAGCGTTGCCAGCATGGGTCAAGCTAAGAAGTGCTGGCCACCATCTTGAGTCACCTCCTAGGCTCCGGGATTCCTGTGACCTTGGCATTGTCCTTTCCATTACAGAGGAGAAAAGGGGCTCAGAGATGGAGTTAGGGCCTGTGTCTCAGACGACCTATTCCTGCAGTGGTCCTCATTGGACTCAGATAGGCAGAGGCCCTCCTAGGCTCAGAGTTGCTCAGTCTCTCACCTCCCAGCCTGGGAAGCCCCTCCAGGTGTGGAGGTGAAGGGCCTAAGACGTGGGCAGGACCCAGATGGGGTGCCTTTATTTGGGGGTGTTGTTTTCTTATCTTTGGAATGGAGATGGGTGGTGATCTCCAGTTGATTGTGGACAGAAGCCTAGTCCAAATGAGGAAGTGGTTCTGCTCTGGACTCCCATCTAAAGGCCAGACTTCCGGGGCTGGAGATCCTGACCCTTGGTTGTCTTGGAGAATGACCAAGGCTGTGGGGCCCGCTGCCTCCCTTCTCTGTGTCCTCCCCTTGCCTGCAGACATCAGAGGACAGCCATGCAGAACCAGGAGGAGACACAAAGGCCAGAACTGTCCCTAGCAGCCATCGGAGACAGGGACCTGGCAGGACAACAGGCTGGGCAGCCGAACAGGACTGGTTGAGGGGATCCCCAGGGCAGCCCTGTAGCCCCTCTGTCCTCTGAGGCCTGACTGTGCCATTTGTCTTACAGACGGTCTCCATCCTGGAGCAGCGGCTAACGCTGACGGAAGACAGGCTGAAGCAGTGCTTGGAGAACCAGCAGCTAATCATGCAGAGAACACCACCGTGATCAGGGGAGCCAGGATCAAGAGCTTGCTCGATTTGGGCGGGGGGGGGATGGCAGGCCGGGGATTTGTACTGGGGGACTTGGGTCAATAAACGAAAGGGATTCAGCTGAGCCCCCGAGGTTAGGCACTTCTGTCCCCCACCAGCTCTCTGCCCCCGGAGGCTTGCCACCTGCCAGCGGAAGGCCCCTCTGGGCAGTGCCCGCACAGACACAGAGGACTGCGTTTGGTTTAATGGGAAGGAGTCACTTGAAAATGTTTGCTACCTCGGAGTCCTAATGGGCCCGAAGATCACAACACACCCTCCCCCCAGAAGAGGTCGCCCCCAGGCCACCTTATGGGGTTTTGTCGCCCTCTCTGCTGAATGCCTGGCTCTTCGCACCCATGACAGCTTAGGAGTGGACTGACTGCCCATTGGATGGGCCAGCCAGGAGTTTCCTCTAAATATGACAAAAGGCTCCATGGGGGCCATCTGAGTCAGGTTAGTCCAGGAACAAGCATGCGGTGGGGCGGCGGTGGCTTCACGGTGGCCTGGATTTCTGCCCCACACGTGTTCACTGGGGCCCAGTGGCTTCCTCCTCTGTACGCCTGTGGGTGAAGGAATCTGAAATTAAAATGGACTTTATTGAGCTTGTCATAAAAGTGACTTGTTCTGAGTGAGACCTCATCAGTGTCCCTCCCACTCCTCAGGGCCCCTAAAGGGAGAATGAAAGCAGTGGCTTCGGAGGGCCCTTGCCAGGTCACCTTGGGCACTCGGGACACTCTTGTCTGCATCTGCTCAGGGAACTGGGGGAGCCAGGGCAGCTGGAGCCCCAGCCCAGCACTCACCTCCCTCTGGCTGGCCTCAGCCGGCTTTGTCAGTTGGGTCCTGGAGGACTCAGGCAGCTGCATTTCCATTTACTCCGGAGGGTTCCCACAGGCTTCTTCCCGTGCACTGCACAGAGAGAGCCGGGCGAGTGCCCTCCGCATGTCTGGGTGCCGTCCTTGTCTCTGGCATTTGGCTTCTTGGGGCCCAGCCAGCCAGGAAGGTATTTATCCTTCAACCTACCTGCTGTGCCCTGGGGGGCCGGGGGGGCCGCGTTAGATCTCAGGAGCTGTTGGTACCACACAGCTAATGAGCTTCCCAGCCTCTGCAGCTTCCAGCTGGGAGCAGAGCCTGAAGGCTGGGAGTTGGGGCTGACATGGAGGCGGCCTCCACGGAGCCCAGATGAACGGCAAGAATGGGGACGCTGATTCCCCCAGATGGTGGGGGAAAAGCCGCAGTCCAGGGTCAGGCTTCAGTCAGCTGTGTAGCCTTGACATGGTCACATAACCTCTCTGAGCCTCAAGTTCTTGTTTTAGGCAGGGCTGGTAAGTACCCTCCAGGGGCTTAGGAGGTAGACCCCCTCCCCTGGAGCTCTGTGAGTGGGGAAGAGGCTGCCAAGCAGGCCTGCAGGTCTGAGTTGGCAGGTAAGGCGCTCAGATTGCTCAGGAGGTCAGGAGCTCCCCCTGTGTGAAGGCTCTTAGGGATTCTGGGCAACGCTAAGGGAGCTTGCTCAGGACGCCTTTGTGGGGAAGGTCTGGTCGTCCCCTCCCATGCTGGACCTGTGGGAGCTTCCAGACCTGAAGCTGGAGACCCCAGTGTTGGGGCTCTGGTGATCTGAGCCACCAGTCCAGGGGGAGGTCATCTGCAGGGACACAGATGGTACCCCTCACTGGGGACGGCAGGACAGAAACCACGTCTTCAAGCAGCGTGTGGCCGCTCTTGCTCGGGCCAGGCCAGGTTACCATCTCCCTGCCTTCAGTTTACGCCAGGATTGAGCTGTGAGTTTCTCTGTGAAGAAAATGTGGATTGAGAGCCTGTCAGGGATTTGGGAAATGGCCTGGGGGTAATGGTGTCTGGGTCCCTGGAAGCCCCAGCCTGGGCTCTCCCAGAGACAGTCACAGGCCGTCTGAGAGGCAGGGCCCTCCTGTCGGGCTTCCTGCACACTCACACACCCGCCTGGATGCAGCCACCAGCTAGACTCGGAATGGGGGGCAAGATGGTTCTCGGAGAGCAGCGCTTGTCTTTGAATCACCACAGAGACCCACCTCCTCCAAGCCTGAGGGTCAGCATGTGACGCACAGGCCAAAGCTATGAAGGGGCCAAGTTCTTGCCCAGAGTTCCTTTTCTTGATCCTGTGGGGCCTGACTTGGGACCTCACTGCTCTGAGTGAGGATCTAGGGGCCCAGATTGCCCCTGAGAGAAGGGGGACAGAGGACCCTAAGGTGCTCTGACCCCCCGTTCCCCGCCCCGTGAAGGTACTACAGGACCCTGACTTGGGCAACACTGGGCTGGTCGGCTGTGGGGACCTCACAAGCGAGAGAGGAGTATGGGGCCCGGGTGGGCTTGAGGCGGCTTGGCAAGGTTGGGGGCCACGGGACAGGGCCTTTCTTGTGATGGTGTCTCCCTGCCAGGCCTCGCCAGCAGCTCCCCTGTAGTAGGGGCTCCTACCAGACCTCCCGCTAGAGCTGCCAAGCTCAAAAGCAGCCTTCTGGAAATGCAAATGCCTCTGCTCAGCCACCATCTCTCCTGATTGTGGATTTTGATAACCGAGCTCCGGAAAAACCAAATTGCATCTCTCTCTCTCTCTGTTTGCTAGAAGGGTGAGGTGAGGTTAGGGGGTTTTGTTAGGTATATCCCAGTGGTAATTCCCACCACCCCCTCCTCTCATGGCCCAGTTTTCCTAATGTGAACTAAAAGAACAGGTGTCAGTGATTGGTGATTTTTTTTTTTAAGATTTTATTTATTTTGAGAGAGCGAGAACACGAGTTGGCGGGGAGGCAGATGGAGAGGGAGAAGCAGACTCCCCACTGAGCAGGGAGCCGGATGCGGGGATCGATCCCAGGCCCCGGAGATACTGACCTGAGCTGAAGGCAGATTCTTAACTCACTGAGCCACCCAGGCGCCCCCTGTTTGGTGATTTAAATTGTGATTCCCCCACCTATGTTTGCCAGATTCTTGGGGTTCCAGGATGAACCTGTACTTCTGCCAGAGACCCTGGGGGAGGTCCCTCAGGCCAGCTGGATGACCAAGCCAGTGAGCAGTGGCTGAGTCCTGTTGTCACCCATGGCAAGCCCAGTCCCCTTTCATTCCCGAGTGTCTGCTCCCCATGAGGTCCTGACAGACCGGCCAGGCTGACCTGGAAACTGCCATCTTCCTACGGAGCACCGTCCTTGTCCATCTGTCCCAGGATCGGCTTGCCACAGATTCCCGACCTCGCCGTGCTGGTGGGCTGTGTGTCTGTCTACCAAGAGGGCGGAGCAGTGGAGCCAGGGGTTCGCTCTGGGAGTCACGGCCCCATGACCCACTGCCCGAGTCCAGATGCTGACTCTGACACCTGTTGGCTCTGAGATCTCCAATGAGTTCCCTAAGCTTGTGGCATCTCCATCTGGAAGGTGCTGCTGGTCTAATTGGGCATGTGAAGTGCTCAGAGCAGTGACTGGCACAGAGCGTGACTGTGGTCCTTGTGTGATCCCCCTCCACCAGCCTGGGGTGCTGTCACTTCCAGCAGGTCAGGCCCCTTCCCCGGAAGTTGGTCCATGTGTCCATGTGCTGATGGTCCCAGGGTCCCTCTAGCTCTGGAACTCTGGGTGGCGAGAGTTACAATCTTTTGATGCAGTGGGCCCTGCCCTGGACATCCCCAGGGGTGCAAGAGGGATTTGGGCCAGCTGGCAGGCAGAGGGGCTCAAGGCAGCCCCTCCCCCGCCCCAAAGGCAAGCACTCTTAAGGCCACCTCCTTGGCTGTCACCAAGGCCGCCACCAGGGCCAGCACGGGCTACAGGGTGGGTGTTGTGATGACCCGGAATCCCGGAAACCCAGCCCACTGAGCAAGCGAGAGCGTGGTGACTCACACTGGCCTTCTTGTCCTGGCTCACTGTCATTAACCTCATTTTCCTAGATGATGTGCTCAAGATGGGCCCCTGATGGCTCCTGCCTTAATTGGTGTGTGGCCATTTAAGGGGGCCAGAAATCCCCCCAGGGCTTCTCACTGAGCACCCCCACTCCACCCCCACCCGCCCCGGGCTGCTGAGGAGGGTTCCCCCTGGCCAAGACAGCAGTGGCAGGCCGGAGGCGGCCCAGGGGCCCAGGGTGCCGTTCCACTTCCTGTGGGCACCGGGCCCTGGCGCAGGGCCTTGTCCCGTTGCCTGACGTGCACTAGCCCACCCCAGCCAGGAGGCCCAGGCAACCTAGGCTCACTGGCTTGGCCACTCTGGGGAAGTCTTCTAGAGGCTTTGCCCCTGACTCCCTACCGAGGAGGGCCCAGCCTGTGCTCAAGATAGGACTGGAGCCAGGCCAGAGAGCCGGGGGTAAGGCATTAGGAGGCTTTCCTGCCAGCCCCTCCTGGGGCTAGGAGCCTCTGTGTGCAAACAGTCTCCCAAGAACCTATTTATAGAGCAAGGCCAAGGAGAGCTTTCACTTCAGGTGAGGCCACCTTGAGCCCCACCTGCCCGGGAGTGCTTTCTGGCTGCAGGAATGCATCTCCCGACCCCCATTCTCCTACCATCTAAGAAATCTGAGCACCTGGGTAGAGAACCTGGGTAGGAAAAGAAGCCCTGTTCTACAGCAGCTTCCCTTTCTTGGCTCTAAGCTTCTCCTTCAGGCACAGTGTGTGTTCCTGCAAGTGGGACTTGGGCACCTTCCGTGGGTAGCCAGGAGGCAGGGGGCTGGCCCACAGGAGCCGAGGCTCACACCAGCAGTGTCACTCTGCCTCGCATCCTGACGTCGGCCTAGTCCAGCTCCATTCTCCTCCGGCTGGGTACCTGGATTCGGCTTTGGAATCAGGACAGCCTTCGGGGCCGTGGATGTCCCTGAGCACTGGGGCCTGTGTTTATCCAGCCCATGTCACTCTCCTGGTCTCAGGTCTGGCCAAGGGCTCTGCGTCCCACTGATGCTCTGCTCAACTGGCCTCTTCCAGAATTTTCCCTGCCCTGGCTCTCCCTGGCACATCTCTCTAGAACCACCTAGTTCTAGAACTGTGATGCCCCACCCCACCTCTGCACTGAGCCCCTTAAACCCTGACCCCACCCAAA